CCCGTGGGGTGTGGTGTTTGTCCTGGGTGGTGGATTCGCACTTTCCGATATTTGCCAGGTAATTGAAACTGGCTAAAACGCCAACTTAAATATTGCTTACCTTATGTCCAAATCTACACTTAGGACGAATCTGCAAACAATCGCGTGAAATGAACAAACAAGTTTCAGTAGAAGTTGAAACGAAAAGAATAGAACCAATTAAGTTAGTCTTAAATAATTTCAATTTTTCCATGTTCGTATCTGTGTGAAGCTATGGGGTGCTAAATTGACATCTTTTTGGTGGAATAATATTTATATTTAAGGCAAACCAATGTAATGGATGATTCAATTTTTAAAGTACGTAAAGCACGTTAGGATATTTTGAAACTATCGACGAAACATCAGGAATCACCCGCTAGATTTTCATTCTCCACTTTGAAGGTCCTCAGAAGAACCAAATAATGGGCATTAAAAAACTTGGCCGAGCATTAGGCAAACAAACGTCAGTGCTGATCAAGACTGCGATCCAAAATCTTGACAAATCCAGCCTGCAACCATACTTGGTGATCGGAATTGCAAGCAAATATGGAGTGCTAAGGAAAAACTCTGTGGAACAAAAATCGAAATACGCGGGCCTCAACCCACAACAGCTGAAATCAACTGCATGTTTTCCACATCAACTCAAACTGTAGTATCGAATTCATACTTCCAATCGGTCGCCCATCACGGAGTTTCGCATATCGGTTCTGATCAGGTGCGGGCACAGCTGATGTGCCTCAAAACATCAAAATCTTCCGGTCTCGAGGGACTATGTCCAGTTGTCCTCAGGGATTGTGCGTATTATCTGTCGGAGCCACTTGCCGGTATTTTCAACCGTTGGTTCGAGCGACAAACAATTGTCGACTGCTGGAGATCTGTGCGCATCACAGGGAAGGGAAGCTGGGAAATTGCGACCAATCGCGTGCACTTTTATTTTACTAAATATTTTTCGAAAAGTGTATGCTTAGTAAGATTATTACTAACATTGGACAGTTTTATGACAATCAGTTATCTAATCGCAAAAGCATTTTACCCTATAAAACCTTGCGCATTTGATAAACTCAGTTCTGCGATCCCTAGACATGCACGGCACAGATTTTCGTGTGGGTTTCCTCAACTCCAGTAATGCATTTAATTATGTAGACAGGGACAGGCGTTTGTCTATACTCCAGGGTACTGGATTGTCTTTCTATATTCGAGACCTACCTACTGATCCGGATGCTCTTCTTATCAAGTGTGTTGATTATGTCACCACAGGTTCCAAATTCCTAGGTGATTTCCACTTTTCACAGCTTGAAACCAGTTTATCTTTCTTGAGCTTATGATCTTCATATTCCAAGGTATCTCACAATGTCTCTAAAATTTAGGGATGCCACGTACTCACTAGCCGAAACAGAAAGGCTACATTTTTTTTGAAAGGAATTGTTTTGTACTCTCTGTTGGTAATCAGCCTGTTTCTCCAGTACATTCTCTGCAATACCTCGGTGTCAACATCTGCCAAGATCTAACCTGGATTTCTTATTTAGATTCTTCTTTTAAAAATATTCGACGATTACGTTTCATTATTTCTCGCTTGCGATCTTCAAAAGTCACCCGATTTGTACATTCTTGTGTTGTTACTCATTTTCTTTACTGCTCCCCATTCTTATTAACCGGTCTTTTTAGTCGGAGATTAAACAATTCAACAGCGGTGTGTCAAAATTATTTTGCGCACAAGTGGTAGTCCCTATTAGCAGTTGCTTCACTTTATCGCCCACAAACCTTTCACCTCTTGCGAAAACTTCTGCAACCTTATTCTATCAGACATCACTCACCCATTAAAAATAGAACTTAAACAGTGCGTATCCTATTCTGTAACTGGCTTTTGTTATAAACTTGCGTATGCTCGTATCACTGGCTACCGTTTGTCCGTTATTCCATAACTTTCCAGATATCTGGCACAAAAGCCATCCGTTAGAGAAAGTCTTTTGAATTTCCTGCGCAAATAATATCCATTTTTAAACTATCACGCCACATTCCTCTTAAATTAACGATGTTGTTTTTTACTTTTCCCTATGACTGTATGATCCTGGTGTACAAGGAGCTGAGAATCCATCCGTTAGAATGAATAAAACGATTTTTGACCTGACCTGACTTTACTTGTGACCTACCTAACCGTAAGGGAGAACCCCTCAAGGTTTCGAAGCCAAAGTACAGATATACCCACATACGATAATTATAAGCTACAAATTATACATTCGCTGACCAATCTAGGAAAAAGGTGCACAAATTCATTTCTGAAATTCGAAATGTCGTATTTAACGGACATCTGTTCGTTATGGTTGTGATTTGTGTTTTTGTCAGACCGTACCAAGACAGAATTAGGTGTGGGAGTACGTCTGTGACACACTGTTGCTAGTTTTGAGGCACATCCCAGCCCACAGGTCTGTCTTCCACGTGTGTCTGTTACCTCAAGTCCTAACAGAGAAGCAAAACAACGTGAAACATTATGACGAAAATAGTTTCATATTATTTCCTTATAGAATATACGATTCTACAGATAGAATTTATATGGAGGACCACCATCAATCAGCCGCTGGTTGCGAATATAGAATCCGGGAAATTAGGGGATAGTGCTGCTTGGATCCGAACGCTGCAACTCGGGCATATTTAGGTTGTTTTACAACAGAAGTTAATGCTGGTAGACATTGTTTTGGTATGAATCTTAGCAAAGATCCCTAGAAAATACTATAAATGACTTCCAATGTTCATAACACTACGCGAAAGGCATGCAACTCATGGACATATCGATCACTGATAATCACAATAATAATATATGATCCCAAGGAATACCAAAACAAACACCTATCAAAAATCAATGACACCTTAAATATAATTTCATTATTTTCTTTATTCATTGATGTGAGATAGAGTATTCAACATGCTGAGTGTAGTCCTCTGAATCCACTTTGATGTGTTCTTATTTTTCGGTCCAATTATCTCATATCTGCTTACTCCAGCTATCCGGATTGTCAGCGGAAATTGGTAACTTCCTTGGTGAAAGATTTGCTCGACTTCCGGTTATGGCACTGATTATAGTGTGTTCCATTTGTGCCGCTGCGTTGACCGAATTTACTTCAAATGCAGCAACAGCATCCATTCTACTCCCGATTATGTTCAGTCTCGTACGTTACCCGAATAGTTTTACTTATGCATACACCGTTAGGTGAATTTTTCCTGACAAATTATTTCACAAAGCAGGAATAGTCAATATATGCTGCTAATGTCATGGTCTGTTTATTGACCTTACAGATAATTATTGAGAAATGCATCTATTTCCTTTCTGATTGAATGAAAAAATATGCATTGTGTTGCAATCGTACTGTTTTCAGAAAATGAAGTAACGTAGATAATCCTGTGTCGAATAAATCGAATTTCATCCGACTTAGTAGGGTAGATCATTCAAGGCAAGGTATTTACAGATATGAGAGTAGTTAAATTTTACATGATATCTTCGCTTTCCCCCTTTTCCCAGTTAATATGCACCAACGTGAGTACAAGTATGTCATTGGATCTTCATCGATGATCGAAATCTACGCACGCCTATCACTTGGTAATTTGTATTTATCTAACTCATTCAGTTACATTCGCCAGTCTGACAGTGCAATACATGTCCCGAATTAAACTCATAGATCAACCCATCTGGCAATTCAGTGGCAATGAGTTTCTTCAGAATTCGTAGAAAATGTGATTTGAAGTTACTATATTTTTAAAGCCTGTGTCAGAAATCACAGAGGTCACTGAAAATCTGTTTAGTATTTTTGATAGCTCAACAGCAGCATTTTCCTACGTTTCCTCTGCTTTAATTTGAACCGTTCAACTTCGGAAGGATCACTGGTCGTTTTATTTCAGTGCCCAATGATCAACTTCCGACATCTGTGTAATTAGCTTTCAACACTATTAGCTTTGCTAATGCCGTCCGGTTCAACCGCAACGAATAGTTTGTATAGATTGATTTGTTTATTTGAGGCATTTCAACCCCTTGGTAAATTTTCATAGATTCATTTGTTCGCCCTCTTGCAGTGTGACAGTCTACAAGTTCATCCGTTCATGCTTGCCTTTCCGGCCACCATTGGTACGTCCTTTGCTTTCTCTCTGCCGGCTGCAACACCTCCGAATTCAATTGTGTTCGGCAAGGGACGGGTTCGTGTAAAAGACATGGTAAGATTAGCTCGCTTGGTCCTGATTGTCCGTTGTTACATTCCCTTGATAGTTCAAGTAGGTTGGCCGTTCGATGAGATATAAGTGACACCTAATTGCGACAACTAAAGATGATTGTATGGATTAAGGAATTAATGTAGTTTATAACAGTTCTGTTTGTAAAACTTGAGCCGCTTTAGTGAACGGAAAACGATTCATCAAAATACAGCAAATACCAAACGAAAACGCAAAAGGTGCAGCTGTTGAATAGAAAAAACAAACGTAGATAGTTAGCTGACTATGTTGGCAATGGTGTTAAACTGAAAATTGCAATTTTTGTTTCATAATGTTTGAGATCATTGTGTGGTCTCGATCTATCGATTCCACATTTCACGGCATGAGACTATGAAACATTTGTAAATGGTTCATACAACTGTGCGGATCTTCATGATACTGAATTTCCAAATAAAATCTCTCTAATGTATCACAACATACTTGTAAGATCGCAGTATCCTATACGGCTTTTTTCCACTCTATTGTTCGATGAACGGCAGAGGGGATAAAAGCGGACATTCACCGGAGATCACTATTTAACGACGATAGCCGGCCAAAAATGTCCGTGAAATTGTATTGGCGACCAAAGGATGTCACGTTTATATGTGCTCGCTGTTGAATTTTACCACAGTAAAACCTTTCTTTGACAATTAAACCTGGGGACAGTTCAGCATTTCAACCTCTGAGCTCGGAACTTAGAGCAGGTCAGAGGCAGAGACTGAAACAATTTTATCATGCCTACCATGAATGAAATGAAACCCATGCAAAACATGCCATGAAATAATCAATCGGTTAGCAACGTGCAACTTAAAAGGGAACCACATTCAAAAATACAGAAGATAAATCTGATCATAATCTAAGATATTGTGCCCAATTTTATGATTATCACAATATGTACTTGATTTTTCGGATTGGTATTTAACATAAGCAGCGTCTTTTTGCTCCGTTGGTGACGAATCATCCATATGGGATCAATAATATTCAGCAGATCAACAAGTCGCACGACGGTGCCGAATATTCTCCAGTGTATGCAGGATGAATAATTCTTAAAATATATAGAATAGATTGTGATTATGAATGTGTTAATAATCTTATAAGATTCAAAATAAAAAATACATGAGACATCAATTTTTCGATACACTGATAACATCATTTAGAATATATATATAGAATACATTGTCTATTTCTACGATACGAGAAAAAGTTTGCAAACACAATGAATTTTATATGCAAATGCATCTGCATAAAACAAATTCGAACTGCTGATGAGACCCAACTAGGTCGAAACAGCTGTCCAGTGCTTCCGAGCTTTTCAGTTCACGCTTCATTTGCTATATACACGACGAATTCCCATTGGAAAACAAATTCCCTTAATAGATATAAATGCATTGAGAAAGCGTTTCACGGTGCACTACTGTAAGTTTACTTCCACATATTTCCGAGTGTAGCGATGCTAAGGAAATCCCATTTTGTGTCACTTAAATGGGCCCTCTAATCAACCTTCCGTTCATTCTTCTCAGGTTCGCAGTGGCATATTCCTCAATCTTATAGGCAGTGTGGTT